GATGGCAAAATGTTATGTGTGTTTTTACACATAAATTAAAATAAATTAAAATATTAATATTAATATAAAATATGTAAAATATATAAAAATAATAATTTAAAAATGTTTAATTAATATACATAGAGAAGCTGTGATGTGCTGGGAAACGTTTACAAATGGGTTCTCCAGGAAAAAAAAAAAGGCCCTGATTTGTAGCAGTTGTTTGTTTCTGGCCAATTTCAAGCTACCAATGTGATGTCAGTGTGGTCGCCAAAGTCCTGCAAAGTTAACCATCAGTTCTCACAAGTCTGTGTCAGCTAGCTCCAGGACACCACCAGAAGGTAAAATTTTTTTCTATTTTTTTTATTATTATGTTATGTTAATCACCATACATGACATTAGTTTTGGATGTAGCGTTCCATGATTCATTGTTTGCGTATAACACCCAGTGCTCCGTGCAGAACGTGCCCTCTTTAATACACATCCCCAGGCTAACCCATCCTCCCACCACCCTCCCCTCTAGAACCCTCAGTTTGTTTTTCAGAGTCCATCGTCTCTCATGGTTCATCTCCCCCTCCGATTTTCCCCCCTTAGAAGGTAAAATTTTAAGAATCAGAAACAGGACATCCAGGACAGCATCGCCCAGGTCAGGAAGTAGGTGGTGCCAACAGCACAGACACCCCCTACTGCGTATCCTCTCTGCTCAGAACCCCGCCCTGCCCCGCAGAGGTGGCTGCCATCCTGCCTTCAGTCATCACTGCTTTGCTTTTCCGCACAATTCTAACACTCACATGTGCGTCTCTGAGACAGATGGCTCTTTGTCTCCTTTTCTTTCCTTTGTTGTTTTCATTTTGCGTTCTAACAATTTGAACTTTTGATCAAAGTAGGACACACATGAGGAAAAGTGCACCGATCATAAGGGGACACCTGGAACAATTTTCACAAACGAAACATACTTTGTAACCACTACTCGGGTCCAGAAAACAACATTTCCAGCCCCTCCCCAAGACAGAGGAATTAGTCTCCATCTTTTGGGAAGGGAGAATTTGGAAGAATTTGTGGACATGTGTTAAAAGTATAGTAATTGAGGGGCGCCTGGGTGGCTCAGTCGTTAAGCGTCTGCCTTCGGCTCAGGTCATGATCCCAGGGTCCTGGGATCGAGCCCCGCATCGGGCTCCCTGCTCAGCGGGAAGCCTGCTTCTCCCTCTCCCACTCCCCCTGCTTGTGTTCCCTCTCTCGCTGTGTCTCTCTCTGTCAAATAAATAAATAAAATCTTTTTAAAAAAGTATAGTAATTGAGAAATGCTTTGGATGAAATATTTTAAGGTTATGAGAGGATCCTGTTTCCCTTTATTTTTTTTTTAAGAGTTACTTATTTTTTTAGAGAGAGAGAGTGCACGCACAGGGCGAGGGAGGGGGCACAGAGGCAGAGGGAAGGAGAGAGAATCTCAAGCAGGTTCCCCACAGGGAGCCCGACACAGCAGGATCCCACAGCCCTAGGCCCTAAGATCATGACCTGAGCCGAAATCAAGAGGCATCCAGGCGCCCCGATTCTGTTTCCATTTTAAAGTCCACCCACTGATTTTAGCATTCTGGGTGGATCGTGTGTATAGAGATTATTCCCGTGGTGTTTGTTTATTAGTAATTTTCCATTACCCCATTCCTTCTACATTTACCATTATTTATGATTTGGAATTCTGGAAGGAAGAGCTGTTTCTGTCTCCAGTTATTTGTTTATTCAATCATTTATTTATACCAATATGGACTCGTAAACAGTTATTTTATTCTTTGGGTTATAATCCAATACTGTTGTTATTTATTTTGTTGACCGAATTGTTCCAGCTGTGGCCATTGGGAACTCTTTCAATTGGTTCCTGCTCTAAGCATTTCATTTCACGCACTGTCCTTTTGACATGACTCCATATTTTTTGTTTGTTTGTTTTTGTTTTTTTAGTACGTCTATTGTCTGGCACAATGAGAAATTTGGGGCTTGTCTTGTGTTTTCCCTGTCCCAGTCCTAGAATCAGCCACTTTCCCAAAGAGAATATGAGATTCCCTTTAATGGAGAATGGCGCTGAGAAGTCAAGATTGGGGTGCTGACTCTGCTCATCACTACTGGGGATGGGGGATGGGCAGGTATGTCATTGCTTCTAGGTCCTCTCAGCTGATAGCATTTGTTTTTTTTTGTTTTTTTTTTTAATATTGGGGGTAGGGGCGCCAGGGTGGCTCAGTTGGTCCAGTGAATTGTTCACTTTAACACAGTTAATTTTATGTTATCAATTTCACCCCAATTTAAATAAACAACAATAGGGGCTCTGGTGATGGGCTGAGCTGGGTTGGAATCCCTTCTCTGCCTCTTTCCTGCTGTGTGACCATAGGCAAGTCACTTAACCTCTCTGTACCTTGGTTTTCTCACCTGTAAAATAGGGAAGAGTCAATGAGTGCATCTTAAAACATTCTGTGGCAAGCAGTAAGCAGTAAGTGTCTGCCTTCAGCTCAGATTGTGATCCCGGGGTCCTGAGATCAAGCCCTGCATCAGGCTTCCTGCTCAGCAGGGAGTCTGCTCCTCTCCCTGCTCCTCCCTCCTCTGGCCTGTGCTCTCTCCTCTCTTGATCATTCTCTCTCTCAAATAAATAAATAAAATCTCTTAAAAAATAAAAATAATGGGGTAAGGGCGCCTGGGTGGCTCAATCAGTTAAGTGTCTGACTCTTGGTTTAGGCTCAGGTCATGATCTCAGGGTTGTGAGATAGAGCCCCACTTTGGGCTCCTGCTCAGCAAGGAGTCTGCTTGTCCCTCTCCCTCTGCTTCTCCCCCTGCTTGCGTGCTATCTCTCTCTCAAATAAATAAAATCTAAATAAACTAAAATATTGGGGTAAAATTCCTATACATAGAATTAACCACTTCGATGTTACATGCACACACGTGTTCATAGCAACACTCTTCACAACAGCCAAAAAGCAGAAACGACCCAAATTCCCATCAACAGATGAGTGGATAAACAAAATGAGGTAGACCCATACAACGGAAAACAAGTTGGTCATGAAAAGGAATGAAGTTCTGATACACGTTACAATGTTTTGGACAGAGGTGGTGGTTGTACAACATTGTGAATATACTGTATGCGACTGAATTGTTGGCTTTTTTTTTTTTTAAGATTTTATGTATTTATTTGACAGAGAGAGAGAGCACAAGCAGGCAGAGCAGCAGGCAGAGGGAGGGGGAGAAGCAGGCTCCCTGCTGAGCAGAGAGCCTGATGCGGGGCTCGATCCCAGGACTCTGGGATCATGACCCGAGCTGAAGGCAACCCTTTAACTGACTGAGCCACCCAGGCGCCCCTGAATTGTTCGCTTTAACACAGTTAATTTTATGTTATCAATTTCACCCCAATTTAAATAAACAACAATAGGGGCTCTGGTGATGGGCTGAGCTGGGTTGCTCTGCCTCTTTCCTGCTGTGTGACCATAGGCAAGTCACTTAACCTCTCTGTACCTTGGTTTTCCCACCTGTAAAATAGGGAAGAGTCAATGAGTGCATCTTAAAACATTCTGTGGCAAGCAGTAAGCGCTGTTTAAATGTTATTTCTTTTTTTTTTTAAGATTTTATTTATTTGACAGAGAGAGACACAGTGAGAGAGGGGACACAAGCAGAGGGAGTGGGAGAGGGAGAAGCAGGCTTCCCGCTGAGCAGGGAGCCCGATGCAGGGCTCGATCCCAGGACCCCGGGATCATGACCTGAGCCAAAGGCAGACACTTAACGACTGAGCCACCCAGGTGCCCCTAAATGTTATTTCTACCTGACACATTCCCTTTGGATTCAAACTTCATTCCTTTGTCCTTTTCTTCGTGACAAACTCCTGGCCTCGGTTGCCGCCTGTGGTGTCTGGGGCCAAGGCAATGCTCCCAAAGGCGGGAGTCATATCTGATTGTACAGCTTTGAAAGGGCTGATGAAT